AAGCAATGTGTATACCAAAAACTTATTGAATGTTTGGACATCAAGAGGCACAAATATGAAAATACATGAAAAGGTAAAACTAGGTAAGGCTTCCTCTGAGGATAAAATACAGTTCTGATGAAGCATAGTACACTACTAGATGCAAGGTTGGCTATAGATGAGCAGAGGAAAATTTTGTGTGTGTATACATTCTCAACAGAAAAATGTGATCTTCAAGACCAACATTAGTATTTTATAAGAAGAACTGAGAGGGACCTGCTGTTGGTGTAATGGCTATGTCGCGGGACTCCCATGTAGTCGACCGCAGTTCAAGTTCCGGACCCAGTGGCTTAAACTCACGCCGGGCGCATGTGGGTGCGTGTTCAAGATCCCAAAAGGAGAATGCAGGAGAAGGGATGGTGGCGTGGCCATACCCCCTGGGGGGTGATTTCTTGCTTTCTGTCTCTCTGTCTCTCTGGTGAGTGCATGTACCCTATAGCAAAAAAAAAAAAAGAACTGAGAAAGTGAGCAAGGTAGCTGTAGACATTAGCCAATCCCAAGAGAGCAATGAAAATTCTCCCTGCCTCCAAATCTCTCCCCAACTCACCTGCTTGGTTTACAGTCTCTCCTAATATAGTCCCTAATGAGCTCAAGAGCAAAAATGAGGGGTGTTATCTCAGAAATTAAATACACAGTTCCTCAGAGTATTAGTAGAGTAGTCTCTAGATTCATAGAGATTTTGAACTAGAAGAGGTAACAACATTCAGTTCTTGCTTCATCTTAATACGTACACTTTATAGATGTGACAATTGGGTCATTTGACAATAAGTGACAGACCCAAGATCATATAGCAACTTATGAGGGGAAGTAGAGGTAAAAATGCTGATTTGTGATGCTCTGCCTATAGGTCTTTTTTAATGCTATTGAGTATCATCTGTACTTAGAAGGGATAAAAGAAGGAGCTGGTATACCTCTCTGGGGGATGAGTCTCTCTACTAGAAGCAGCAGGATAATTGGGTGGGTCAGACTGAAAGTCTGGGGAGTGGGCTTCTCGACTTGTGCCTGCACACAGAAGTTTGCTCTTTTGTCCAAAACTGACTGAAATACCAGGGAAAATAAAGTGCCATTAATAGTGAGTTGTCAGGAAAGTCATGACACACATTTTTGCATAGAAAAATACATCATGACTTTCCCAACAACTTAATATGTCACCATGTAGTAGATTCCACTTACAATGATATAGGTGTTCTACAGGTGACCTCTACCCATAGTGAAATACTGTATATCCTCCTTCTACCACAGTCATTCCCTGACACCAGTTTAATGATAAGATTTGCTGTACACTCACAAGGCACAAGAACATTGGGCATTTTTACACACTCATTTGTCTGTTTAGAACTTGGTATGGGTTTTATGAGGGGTAGTTGTTACCTTGTTATGGAGATGCAACTATCTTAACTTTGCACCAAGCTAATGTGTGTTCATGAAAACCATGCTAGGCAGAAAAATAAGTATTCTCTACCATGTAAACTGTAGGTGACTGAAGTAGTTTTTAACATTTCTATTTCATTTTGGAAACAGAGTTTAAACAAAACATCATTTGCCATGGAATCTCTCCCTTTGAAATCCTATTATTGATTTTTTAAAAATTCGTTTCATATTGGACTAGCAGGTGTCATGGTGGTTAAGGCACTGAACACTCACATAGTTGACTACAGTTTGAGTCTTGGACCTGGTGGCTTGCTTTCTCACCTTCTCTCTCTCTCTCTCTGTCCATCTGTCTCTCTCTGGTCAAATTAAAATAAATGAGTGAATAAATCAAATTAAATAATTCTTTAAAAAGTGTATTTTATATTAATTCACTATATATCATTACAACATACAAAATGAATTTCCCCATCTAGAATACAAAGCTCTTACCATACCTATTGTCTTCAACAGATAATTTTCCATTTTGTATTTCCTAACTGTTTCACTTCATTTCCCCCCTTCATTCCCTCCCTTCCACCTTCTGCCATTTCCCTCCCTCTCCCACACTGGTGTGCACAGCTGCTCTCCATGCCTTTATATTGTCCAGTATTTCAGTTTCTGCCATAAAGCGCAGGCATTTGGTATATACTGAGCAGGGACATACAATACCTCTCGCTTTCTGGCTTACTTCATTTAGCAGTAAATCTTCCACATTTGTCCACTTTCTATCAAATGTATTATTGATTCATAATTTCCAACTTTTTTGGGGGTTTTTAGTTGGTTCTCATACATTTAAAAATCAAGTGTGGGACTAGCAGATATCATAATGGTTATGTCACTGGACTCCCACATAATCGACTGTAGTTTGAATCCTGGACCCGGCAGCTTAAAATTCAAGCCAGGTGCATGTGCGTGTGTACTTAAAATCTCGAAAGGAGAATGGAGAAGAAGGAATTGTGGCATGGTCACCCCCCCTCTGGTGGGGGAGTGATTTCTTACTTTCTGTTTCTCTGGTGATTGCATGTGCCCTATAGCAAAAGATCTCTCACTCAAAATAAATAAATAAATAAATAAATCAAGTGAGTTCAATTTTTCTGATAAAATTCTGAACTACAATTTTTCCTTTATTATTTTTTTACAAGGGATTAGGTTATCTTTTGGTTAAAAATTATATTTTTTAGGATGTCTTTGTACTGTTCTTGTAAATGAGGTTATATTACCTCCTAGCATATAGTGTTATTAGACTTACTGGGTTTCTGGGAAAAGTATAATGAAAAATTATAATATAAAATATTAAATAGGTATTGAAACAAAGCAATTATACTGGTTCTTCTTTAATTATAGGAGAAGATTTCAAGTTAATTTGCTTCTTCTGCCATAATAAATATGTGACTCTAACAGTTTAAAAGCGAAGACCCTTTATAGATAGAGAAACATTTTTTTAAAATCCTCACATCACAAGGAAACCCTGTACATTAGTCAGTTTGCTTAACTGGATAAGAGGTAATGTATATACTATGCCGACAACTTTAGCAAATAGATTTTTCTAAACAAGCTACTTCCAAAGATACTTTATTAGCTGTCATTAACTTGCAGCAACATTGTTTTAGGTTGGAAATCTTGGTGATCCATCTTGCAAAGCATGGCTGAAATGAAGAGACCCCTGAAATTACTAAATGAGAACTGAAAAGGGGATTGTGAAGTCATGACCCTTTTAAAGGTGTTGGTTTACAGAGTGTGAAATGGGCAGTTCAGCCCTGCACCAAGGAAGCAATGCTGCAGACATTACTGGCTGGGAATCAGAGGAAATGTCATTTTGAAGGACACTTGGACCCCACCAGCAGGTCTAACTTCTGTGATAGAGAAAACTATTTAATTTGGAATACAGTTCTGTATTTTAAAAGAAGTATTAAAATAAAAAGCAAGTAATAATCCTCTCTTTTATGTTTTTTTTTTTTTGCCTTTTTTTTTTTCATGTTTATGGGCCACTTTTAGGGCTCCAAGAATAAATTCACTAAGGATTATGCTCAACATCAGAGGTACAAATTCTTAAGCAAAGTCTACACAGTCAGACTCTGGATGTCCTTAGAGCAGGGACGTGGAGAGCCGACTGGCCAGCTGTTGTCCCTTCAGAGGAAGAAGAGCTTGGTTCTACTATTTTCCTATGAAAACTGATTACATAGGAGCTATTTTAGCTTATTTTAAAGTTCAGTAAGTGATCACAGGGTGAGAGCAATCAGCTGGGTGCCAAGATCTTTAGGATTTTTTAATGTTATTATCTGCAACCAATTTGCTCAACTATGCTACTGAACTATTCTCTGCTTCAGTTTATCTATCTAAGGATATAATCAGTTTAATCCCCATGTATCCAAAGAGGAAAGATGGGAAGATGTATTAGAAACACTTTAAAAACTTTGACTTTGTTAAAAAAAAAAGACTTTTTTTTAATTCCTTGAGAAAATATTTTCAGTTCAGTAATATTGGATCAAATCTCTAAATTTTGTTCCCCTTAAAAACAGTGTTTTAAAGTAAAACATAGAAACATAGGTTGCACATAAGTACTTTACTTTTATACCCTTTCTTTGATTACAAAGTGAAGAACAAAAATACTGAACTAGGGAATTCTAGGTATCAATATTTAGTGAGATACACTGGCTGCAATTATATAGTGTTCTTCACTTTGTAAGTGTTTTGTCTCCTCCCACCCCATTTTGAATGACATCCTCCTACAGATGTTGCTCAGGAGTAGTAGCGAGACCTGTTTGAAGTTTAAATCCGCGGCACCCTTTACAGAACAGTGGCAACTGATCACAATAATGATCAAGCAGAAATGCTTTCTTTCTGATAAACAGCCAAATTCAGCCTCTCTAAGGAAAATGAACGCAGGCATGTCCTTGCACACAAATATACAAGCATGCATGCGCACGCGCGCGCACACACACACACACACACACACACACACACACACAGCCTACATTCAGAGTGGAGGTTTTTTTCTACCCCCAACTAATAAAATCAGGAGGCTGCAATGAGACTGAGCGGCATGCAGTTTGATGTCCTCAGCAGGATACGGGGACCCAGAAGTGGCGCTGTAAATCCAGTGTGGGGCTTCAACGCTGTGTGAAGTGGGGGCCTGAGTCTCAGAGATTTCCCTTTGATGCAAGTTCAGTATATTAATGGGAAAAGCATTCACTTTTATTTGTCTATACTGTCTGCGACAGCAAGGCTGCCTCATTTAGCCTGGGCCAACATGAAAATACGCAGAGAAGCAATCTGTTGCAAATTAGCACAACTCCCCTTTCATTTACTAGCAAGTAATTGGAAGGGGTTAAGAAAGTGTAACTTATCAGATTATGTGAGTGTATCTACTTGTGTGGACGACAGCTTTCTCCGAATTTCCTTAAGAATCCTCAGGCAAAAATCCTTCCAGCTTGTCCACTTGATCTGAGAGAGAATGCTGATGGGTGTGACATCCTCGTGCTTCGTTAGGTTTGAGAGGGCACTTTCCCAGACTCCTGAAGGAGGTAGTAATGCTTTTTTTAGAATCTTACCTTTCTTTAGATATGTTCTTACTCTCCCGTTTCCAAATCATCTTGAAGTCGCTGCAGAACTCATACCACACCATAAACACATAGCTGGGTGTGATCTCCTTCTCACCAGACTTTGGCTTCATCCCAAAATATCCCACTGTTGTTTCAAAACTGTAACAGGTAGGGGGGGAATGGAGTGAAGTAGGGAGTGAGAAACTGTCAACACCAAAGCCTGTTACGATGAGGCGGGGACACTGGGGCAGCCTGCCACAGGTCACTTTTCTAATACAGGAGCCCATGCTCATAGTTACCATAGCTTATCCTAAGTCTCAGGAAACCTATTTGCCCACATTGATTTGACAAGAAATGTCACTTTATTGGGGCTACTCCTAACATATCTGTATAAAAGTTAAGATGCCTAATTTCAGGGTGGGGTTAGATAGGTAAAACTTCTTGAGTTTATCCTCCATCTAAAGTTCCCATCATTTACCTGCTCTTCATTTTATGTTTTATGAATACATGTAAATCTGATGACACTGATTCTTTAGCATTAGCAGTGGCCAGATGACCTGTAGAGAATGATTCATCTATTTCACAAAAAAATTAAGAAAATCACTTCTATCCTTATTCTGACATACACTGGTTTTATAATCTTCAGTCAATCATTAAACATCTCTGACTCTTCATTTTCCCAAGGGTTAGGGTTAGGGTTAGGGTTAGGGTTACCTCATGATCTTTAAGAAAACTACATTTTCAATTTTGATGACACAAAAATACAAACCTCCGATGTACAAAAATAGACATAAATGTGGGTCTACCAAGGTTTGGATGAAAAACCATCTCCGATCTTGGAAAAAAATCCCTAATCTGGTCCGAAAGGAACCCAGATTTACTAATGTGGGGTCACAAATATTACTAAGACCCACCCCATGAAGGTTCACTGCACACCAGACTACCTAGGCCTCCCAAGCAGCCCTGGTTGGAGGCACTAGCTCAGTGGCAATTTATAGCTTAGAACTAAAATCTTTCCCCCTTGCCCCCACCTACCCAAGCCTCACGACAAGCTCATTTGCCATGAGCACTTAAATAAATGACCCTCTTTTCTAGGGTGTTGGAAACTAATCAAATACTCAAGTCTCTATCATCTGTTCAGACATAGTGGGTTTTTTTTTTTTGTGGCCATCCTGAATACTGAGTTTCCAATAGAACTCTATTCAATGGCGATTGTAAAACCCTGAAGCCCCGTTACTATTATGGAGCATACTTTCATCTCGTTCTCAGTTATTGGGCAATATGTATCTCATAAGATTTTATCACATTTCACAGATGAACTGTTAATTGATTCCATGGCTACGATTAGGCGAGATCCAAGCTGGAGCTGCAGCTCCGAGTCCCATAAATTCTTTGTGCTTCTGTAAATAATAAATCTGTTTTTAACGCAAATTAAAAGTACTGGTCAGGGAATTTGGGCTCTCAGTTATTAAAAGACTAGAAGTGTATAAGTGAAGAAAGGCAATAACTGCAGTAATCTCTTAAGAGACTTTCTTATAATACCAAATGTGCCTATTTGGGGAGCAAAACCAGTAATGGGAGAAAGTAGCGATATCCAAGGTTTCCCAGACATAATTCTTAATTCTGTGGTGGTCAAAATGCTGATACAACCAGGTGCATATGCTACAGTTTATATCTTTGTTCCATGCAAAATGAAAACTTTATCGATAGTATCATGGAAATGTGTTAGAGAGTTATGTAACCTCTTGGAATAGGCCATGAATTTCCTACAGAGTCACAAGACTTTAGAACTGGAAGGGACTTACAGGTTGATTTGCCCAAACATCTTGTTTTACAGAAGAGAGAACAGGCCCACAAAAATGAATGACTTTATTCACTGTCAGAATTGAGCCTTGAACTCGGTTCTCCTGACTCCTTGTGAAATGTTCTCTACTTCACCCTTATGCTCATGCTAACAAAGCTATTCAAGAAATGAAATAATCATTTCTTGCTATTTCTACTTTAGACACAGTTGTTCACTATAACACACAAGTTATGCATTACTCCCAGGAAGGCATATAATTATTTTTCCCCCTCCTTCTGCTTACCTTTCATACAGATACACACTTAGAGACATATTGTGCATTAATAGAGGAAAAAAAAAAGACGTTCACTTTTGGTATTCAGAGGAACAAATTATCTTTCTACATTCCAATAGGATATAGTGAAGCCCAGTCATGAGCTTCATGGGTCATCCCAACACCTCTAGTGTGATTTGGAGTTTATACTGTGAGAACAACATGTTGTAAATTCAGTGCAGTGTCAGAGAATGACAGAGTTATTTGGTGGTTATCAGAGAGCCTGAGAAAAGCATGTCATTTTTCTTGGGGTCTCACTTTTTCCCACCTCTAAACTGAACCTAACTATTGCTCTCCCTGGGAACTTATGAGGCCCCTACTTTGCTTACTCTTCCTTAAAGGGGGTGAAAATAAAAAGAATTCTGAATTTCAACATTTTTGCCCCCTATGTGTTTTGGAAACTAAGAAAGCAAGAGAACCTCTTCAGAAAAAACAAAGCAGAGTCCCATGAGATGCCCTGGCTCTGGCCTTCACAGCTTTGTCAAAGATTAAGTCACTCTGAGGATGTGCCTTGTTACCCCTTTATTTAAGAAAAAGCTAAAATATAAACCTACAACTATCTAATATAGTCTAGACTATGTCTTCCTTGGATAAAACTCTCTTGGTTTCAAATTCAGTTTTGATTCACAGAATGATCATTGAAAATTTCTGAAATTTGGATAAGAAAATTGCTGCTATTTAATGACCAAGGGAATTTTCTCCAATAGATAGGGAACAAAGGGGTCAATTACGCTTTTTGAAATTTCACTCTATCAGCAGGTAACTCTAAAATAGCATTTCAACTTTGAAAAGATTAATTTATATCTAATCATGTTTCGTTTTACACTTTTTTTATATCACTCGAAACTATTCCATGACTCCTTTTATCTTGTATAATTCTTTGTCTGATTTGCATCTTCTTAATTTGTCAAGCATTTTTAAAGTACAATGATAATACTGAAAAGCCCATAACCAAGTGAACTGTTTCACTTTTATAGTGTTGAGATGCCAAAGCAGAACACATCCACTTATTGTTTTACATGTATGCCTTCAAAAACTGCTTAGGAAAAGCAAATATTCCTTAGCCTCAGAGTAAATTGTTTCTCTTGAGAATAAAACATGAGAATTTACTAAATCTCACACGAATATTGCAACACTGACCACAACCTCCTTAAAGAGTGTAACCAAACAACTGTGGTTTCTACATTAAAGATGGGATCTAACATATTTCATGTATGACATGAAAGCTAGACTACCTTCACCACAAAGCCACGGAAAATGCTGACAACCAAAATTTATGACTCTCCTCAGCATAGCTAATGCACAGCAGCAGCTTCAGCCCCTCTAAGGTGGGCCCCCTGTATTTTAAGTAAGAGTCTTGAAAAAGTATTAGAAATTTGACATCCACCTCGGAAGATGAATTTCTGTGTGGACTGATAACCAATCAGCCCTTGTTGATGGTTGCTTCTTTATGAGCTAAACAATTCTGTAACATAGATACACTCGTTTTATGTGTTGAGAATGGATATATCTATAGACATACACATATCTCTTTAGATATATATGAAAAAGGTCAATAGAGGAGTACAAGAGTATGAAAACATAACCATATAATTATCATAGTTTTGAATGATTGATAGGATGATAATCATCATTCAAGAAATGTACTTAGAAAAGTGTAAGATCTGCCTAAACCTTGTTTTCATTAGCATTTTAATTTTATTGGTAATTAAAGTGGGAAGCTGGGCAAGAGGTTGCCACTTGTCACAGCAAGGCAGGCAGCACTGTCCATGGGCTTTTGGAATTCTGGGAAATTGTACCTAGACAGGAAGAAAATGATTATTTGCATAGTTTGTTCACTTGCACTTACACTCAAAACTGAGAAACTCTTGGTGAATTTTCTATATACATAGGCCAATGTCTCCCTTGTACCTATTCCTTGTCTACAATATCTTCTAGTATCTGACGAATTACATAACAAGCCTCTTAGGCACTTGTGATAATTGCTTTAATCTAGTTATAAAATACAAAGAAGGGGGACAGCTGGTATCATGGTAGTAAGGGCAGATGGATCCCACATGGGCAACTGCACAGTTGAGTCCTGATCCTAGCATGTGTATGCATGCCCAAAACTGCAAGGGGAGAATGGAAGAGAAGGGACCAGGGGATGGCCATTCCTTCTGGAAGGTGCTTTCTCACTATCCATTTTTCCCTTTTTCTCTCTGGCAAGCACATATGCCTCCTGGCAAATTAAATATGTAATATATAATATATAATATGTAATATATAGTGTGTGTGTGTGTGTGTGCGTGTGTGTGTATGAATAAAACTGTTCTTAAGTTCCATGGCCTGGTTCAGGAACAGAGGAATGAAGGAAAGGCAACAGAACAGTGTCATGACATGTATGTGAGCCAGGTGAGTCGCCTCTAGATGATTCTCTGCTTCTTCGGGGGAATAATTACCAAGAACTGCTACAACGCTTTCTTTCCAGTTCTTGGTTAAATATTTCTTCTCATGGATGCATATTCTTAAATAGGCCAAGAGAATGACGAGTCAAACACTCTGTTCAGTGAAACAAGCCAATCACAGAAGGACAAACACTATACGACTGCATTTAATGGGGGCACCTAGAGTGTTCAGTCTCCCAGAAACAGGCAGCAGAACTGTGGTTGCCAGAGGTTGATGCAGCTAGGATAGAGAATCAGAGTTTAATGGATACAGAGTTCCAGTTGGGGAAGATGAAAAAATTCTGGACATGAATGGCAGCACAGCAATGTGAATATACTTTAATAATAATAATAATAATAATAATAAAATGGCTAGTCAAAGAGAGAACAGGGCAAATAAGAGCTGCTTACCTCTTCTGTGCATTTTCCAAGTGACTTTCTTCCATTTTGTGCTCCTTTTTTGCTGTAAAAGAGAAATAGTTAAGATTAAAACTATTTTTGTCTATTATATCTTTTGTATAATCTTCTAGTTTTGGTTATACCATTTGTTATCATCATCTGAATTACAGGGTTGACAGCCACTCCATGTGTCCTGGAGACCACTATTGTTTTCTTGATAACACCTAGAGTTAATGGTAGCCAAAACATTTGTTGCTTTCTCTGAGATACTTTTGAGAGTGAAAGGGAGCAACATTAATATTAATAATTATACCTGGACAGAGACATAAATGGGAACAATCCTGGGTAGATTGCCACAGTTCTGGCTACAGGCTGGCCTCTCAGTGTGCTCTTAACATATACCTATTATAGTTCCTCTCACTCTATGAGTAAGAAAGCTAAGAAATCAAGTACCATTTGCAGCAGTTCTGCTCAGAGTCAAGCAAATTCAATGAGAATCATTGCACATAGCACCTTGATACCCAGGAGCCTTTGGCAGTCTAAGGACGATGATGAACTCCTTTGTCTTCAAAATGTATTCTATAAAAATGACATAAGATGACTAAGGAAATAAATGATACTGAGATAACAATTCCCAGTAGATGGCATAGTGGTTAAAGGCTGACCTGGTGGCTTGAGACTCATGCCGGGCACATGTGCGTATGTGCCCAAAATAACAAGAGAAGAATGGAGAGGAAGGGACTGTGATGTGGCCAACCCCATGAGGGGTTATTTCTCACTTTTCGTCTCTCTGCCTCTGACTCTCTCCTCTCTGGTTAGTGCATGTGCCCTAAACGCAAAAACAAAAACCAAAAAGAAGAGAGATACAATTCTGAATCTAAAACACCTGTGCTCTGGGCCTCGCAGGTTGTGCCTATGGGAGGCCTGGGTTTGGTTACCGTGCCAGCCTGAAGACCGAAGTGTGGCTGCATGCTCGCCTATAATCCTAGCTACTTGGAAAGCTGGCAGGAAGATCACAACACAGCAAAACCCTGTCAGGAATTCTTTGTCATTCTCCATTTCCCTCTCACTGCCCTCTCCTGCCTCTCTCTCTCTCTCTTTCTCACATAAAGAAAAAAAAAAAATCCAAAAACAAGGAGAATATATACTCTGTAGGGATTGTTTAATCAGGAAATTTCATTTTGGGGTAGTTATTTTACATATTCTTCTCTCAAATCATAAGATAACAGTTGTTATAAATGAAAATACCACTCTTTTTATTTTTATTTTTTTTTTGAGAGGTTTTCGCTATAGGGCGTGTGCACTCGCCAGACAGACAGAGAGAGACAAAGAGACAGAAAGCGAGAAATCACCCCCCAGGGGGGATGGTCACGCCGCAATCCCTTCTCCATTCTCCTCTCAGGATCTTGGGCACGCACGCACACGCATCCGGCATGAGTTTTAAGCCACTGGGTCCGGGACGCGAACCATGGTCGACTACGTGGGAGTCCAGCGACATAGCCATTATGCTAACTGCTGGTTCCCGAAAATACCACTCTTGTACATTTTTAATGTTCAGAAAAATAGGCAAGTCATAACATAATCAATATGAGCCCCAAGATTTCATTAGTTTAAGGATACAATGATGCAAAATGAATGACAACTATCATATCTAAGGTCTCTCTTGTAACACTTCATGAAAGGTATTAAAGGATTGAAAAACATTGCCTTTTTTATTAAGCCTGGTTCTGCTGTATACTACTTGTTAACCTGTGGGCTAGTCATTCATGACCAAATGTTTAGTTTTCTGTCCTGTGAGAATAGCCACAGAGACTGCTATCTACGGTTATTTAAAGATTAAATGAGATAACTCTAAATGTGAGCTCAATATATGGCATGTATTACTAGTACCTCATCATCATTATCTTGATCTGTTTTTAAAAAGTAAGTTTTATACACTTTGATCCTGATCAAAACCTTCCAATGGCTTGGTTTGCCATCACTCTTGACAGAACATCTAAAGTTTTCACAATATCTAGAAGGGCCCTGCCAGTCTGCCCCCTGGCTCCTTGGTGACATCATCTCTTTTCCATGCTCATTCCTTTCCAGCCTCACTGGCCAGCATGCTGGGGCTTGAGCAGACTGAGCACATGCATCTGAGGGCCTTTGCACGTGCTCCTCCTGCTCCCTAGAACATTCTGCTCAAACATCACCTCTGGGCCCTCACTAAAGAAGAGCGCACCCCTCGCCACTCATCCTCTCTAAAAGGTCTCCCTTTTTTTTTTCTCATACCCTCTATCTACTTGACAGACTATTCTTTTACTCATTTGTTCATTTATTTTGAAAAGTTTATTTATTTCATCCATGACAGAGGGAGAGAGAGAGACAAGCAGCCCAACAAGGATCTCATGCCACAGTCGACCCTCAGGCCCAGCTGGCGCAGATCACAGGCAAGGACACGCTTGCACTGCATGCTCAGGAAGGCACGGAGATGTGGACCCGGGAGTTTCCTAATGTGGAACCAGTTGTGTTACTGCTGTACCACCGCCTGGCAACTCACTCATTTGTTATAGCACAATTGAATATAAGCTCCAGGAAAGCAGCAACTTCATCTGGCTTGTCTTCTGCTATAACTTTAACTGTGGAAAAGTACCTATATGTCAGATAAAATATTTTAATTTAAAATACATGTATTGTATAAAACTTGCACAAAAAGAGAGATACCAACTTTCCCAAACATACAATTTTATATTTAGTATATGAACACCAGGTAAAGAAGATTGTGATAAAGTTGTATACCATCTCTGAGCGCAGTAAATTCCAACTAATAAAACTGATTTTGTTTTGTATTAAAATGATCTGACTTTCAGGAGCCGGCAGGTGGCATGGACGTTGGAGGCACTGGACTCTCATGTCACTGACCACAGTTTGAGTTTCAGACCTCGTGGCTTCCTTTCTCACTTTTTCTCTCTCTGATCAAATTAAAATAATAATACATAAAGTAAATACAATAATTCTTTAAAAATAAAATAAAATGATCTGGCTTTCCTAAGTACATGCTTTTAGGCAGAGTTACGTCACAGTTGTGGCCATCTTTTGCTATATGACTTTCTCCCCACACTCCTTGCTGGAATCTCTGAAATTAGTTTGGGGCTGGCCCCTTAACCTAGTAGTTAAAGAGGCTGGATCCCAAATGGCTGACCACCGTTTGAATCCTGACCCTGGTGGCTTGAAAACTATGCTGGGAGCATGTGTGTATAGTCTCAAGCTCTCAACAGGATGGAGAATGGAGGATAAAGGACTATAGTGTGACCGTGTCCCAGCTCAAGTGGTGCTATCTTTCTGTTTCTCTGGGGACTATATACACCCTGCGGCAATTTAAAAAAAGAAAAAAAAAATTGGTCTGGTGCTAAGTCAATTAGATACTGAGAAATGACCTGTGTCTCTCATAGGCTACTAAGTTCTTCAGAATGTGAAATGAACAAGTGATTTGTTCTTATCTAGTGATTTTAAATTATGTGCATGACTAACTAGGAGGAAACATTCCTTTGAGGTCTGAGTGATCTTCCTGGAGGACTGAGCCGTTCTCGGTCTCCAGATGGTTTCTAACTGGCTACTTCCATGCTGTGCTAAGTAGCCTGTGGCCAAGCTGTCACTGCATATGAACTTAGTAATGGAAAATACTCTATTCAAATTGAATTAAGCATTAGATAAGATTTTGCAATGGCTCTATGAATATGGTAATTTGGAAAAAAAATAGTATCCACATGTAAAAAGAAGCAATGCACACTGTGTAGTTCACACACACAATGTTTGAAATGTCCAAATATGTCATTGTATAGATATAGATATAGATATAGATATAGATACAGCCTCAGAAGTCTTTGGAAGGCTCCATCTAAGTAAGTATAATTATGTTACCTAGAAAGAAAAGGTTTAAAGACTGGGGTCACAAACTCAAATTCTAATATCACCAAGAGGTAATTGTGGGCCACACAGAAAAATCTCGATACTTGGGGGACCAGCAGTTAGCATAATGGCTATGTCGCTGGACTCCCACGTAGTCGACTGTGGTTCGGATCCCGGACCCAATGGCTTAAACTCACGCCGGGCATGTGTGCGTACATGCCCAAGATCCCAAGAGGAGAATGGAGGAGAAGGGATTGCGACATGGCCATCCCCCCGGGGGGTGATTTCTCGCTTTCTATCTCTCTGTCTTTCTGGCAAGCGCACGCGCCCTATAGCAAAAACCTCTCTGGAAAAAAAAAAGAAAAAGAAAAATCTTGATACTGTGGAATTCTATTCCTAGTATCCCAGTACTAGAACTGACAGACTTAGTGTGGGAATACCAGGGAAATGGGAAGGCCATGTCCCATTAAGAGAGGGGAAGTACTTGGCTTTGTTACTATATATTCTGCTTCTTTGAAGGAAGCTTAAAAGGGAATTTTTAGTGACTGTTTCCAGCTTTAAAAAAAAAATGTTTTTAGGGTCCAGTTCCATGATATAGGTAATGCACTGTTCAAGAGAAGCTGAATTCCACATGGCAATCACTGCTTAAATTCCTGGTCCCATTAGTCTGAAACACACCGTGCACACAGTTAAGTGCCAAAGATTCAGCTGGGGTGTGACCAGATCCTGTGGAGGGTGCTCTTCCCTATCACATATGTGCACATATGCTCTATTGTAAATTAAAAAAAAAGAATCCAACATTGTATAAGAAAAATAATATTCCTGGTGGCCATACCAAACTCTGCAACCTCTGACTCTTTTACTCTTTTATTTAATAAGCCAGTCTTCCTTCTAGGTGCTTAGGATCCACCAGTGAGGAAAGCAGACAGAAATCCCTGAAGAACCTTCATTTTAGTTAGGAAAGACAGGCGATAAAATCTGAGAGAATAAGATCTGGTGTAAGTAATCTTTGATAATGGTAGCAAAAATAAAATAATAATCCTAGAGAATCAATCTTGAAATCCATAGAAGGAGACTCCATGTGAGTTACTGAATTAGACATGCTTGCGCAGTTAGAGCACGAGAGGGAGAAACAGTATTTAAATCGAAGATGGCAAATCTTGGATGAAATTGTCC